ACAGATTTTACAATGTTAAACAATATAAAACTAATATTAAACAAATTTTACAATATTAAGCATTATATGATTTTTGAAATAACTAATGAAATGAAATGAAATAAGCTAAAATTTTAAATTTATTTAATACCTTATTAATTTATATTGTTTAGAGAAAAACATTTTTTATAGAAAAATACTAATTATTTATTATATTGACCCCAGATAAAACATTTACCTATGATTGGCATTATTTTGACAATAAGAATTACAAGTCAAAATAAAAAATTTCTCACCAGACCCTGAAAGTTCCTCGGACTGCTTGTGGCTCCTATTTTGAAGATGAAATCCTTAAGCTCTTGATCTCCTTTTTGGATTCCTGTTGCTTGTTTGCCTGAAAGTTTATTAAAAAAGTTAGATATAATAATATAAAAACCTAGCAATTTTAAGAATTGTTGCTTGTTTTTATACGATGGGCGTGGCTTAAAGCCACTGGCTTTATAAAACAGCTGATTTTATAAAGCCCGTAAAAACCAATTAGATTCTTAAAACTTGTTTTTAATAACTGAACAAACATGCGAAGAATTAATAATCACTTTTTGCTTACCTAACTTTGTTTTTTTTCACTTTTTACAGCACTTTCCAATACGAACAAAATTTGACAGCATCTCTTCCTATGTCCGTTGAAAAACTGGCGTCCCCCACCCCGCAATTTACCTATATACCTAATTACGCGTATGCTTTTAGAAATGGGCAATGGGTTAATTAAAACACCGGAGCATATTTCTGCGAATAACAGAAAAAAAATTCGCTAATTTCATTCAAAAAACCCGTTTCATATAGATTTAAAAACATAATAATAAATGTGAAGTTAGAAACGTTTTTGTTTATTTAAAGTTGGCAACGACGTGATCCAGAGCATCTCAGACTTGTTCGGGTACCTTCGGCTGTTTCCTTTCGCCCTATTTCGGTTTTGCTTCTTTGGTGTTCTTTGGAACTGCAATTCAAACAGCTGTTTTGAATTCAAATTAACATAACCTCAATAATGTTCATTTGAACTACTACTTATATTTTTTGTAGATACCATATACCTATACCTAGTTATAGGTATATGAGTAATACAATATTAGTATTTTTAATCAACTATAAGAAAAAAAATGGTTCGATTTTGTTGGTGCTAGGGTACGGACCGCTCAATGAAAAGTTTGAAATATAGGTGACTCTTCGACCTAGGAGGGACAAAATTGCATTCCCGGAATAGAAATATTCCTGTTTATCAATAGTAGGTATTCCTCGATTTGTCCTTTTATAAAGGAAAAGAGGAATCTATATGAAGCTATAAATTTGAAGGTTACATAACCTATTTGTGTCCACGTGTTCGTTAGACAACCGTTGTCCAATGCACAGAACATAAGGTCCAATGGTTTTTGGTTCTTCTGAAATCATTGGACGTTAAAACTTGTTGCTGGTCAAAATGGTACATTGATTCCAAGACCATTAGGGCGTTGAGCCACCAAGAAAGAAGAAGAAGAAGAAAAAGAATATTATATGTGTTTAATATATATATTTAATATATGTATATACTTTGATCACATCATCGAAATAAATAAGCTAGTTGTAATAGCGGTTGCATAGAAATATATCAAATTCAGGAAGGTTATTTCGTTTCATTGCTTTGAAACTTGGAGGAAAAAACTACTTTCGTGTGGTGGCCACTGCGAATTCGTCCTTCCATTTTTTAAATTTGTCTCACTGTGCGAATTTGACCTTTCATTTTTTAAATTTATCCTACTGTGCGAATTCGTCCTACCATTTTTTTAAATTTATCCCCCTGTGCGAATTTGTCGTTTCGTTTTTAAATTTACCCCAATAGCTGGCCATACACAGACATTATTGCGCGCGGTTTATCGTGTTATCTGCAAAAGCATATGGAAAATCATGTACGTGAGTGAGTATCGCCGCGCGCAATGATAGAACGGGACGTGCTTTTCTCTGGAGTGTGGCGTACATCATTTCAGTGTCCACACGCCACGTTCCGCGTCACGGTTTACCTTTGCTTGGCAAAATTTCACGTTGAAAATTTGTACATGATCACATGCAGTTTCAAACGACTCGATAAATTACACTTTTTGCCCACTTACATACTATTTTTCCTTTGAAACTGATATACCACAGGCAATCAGTTGCTAAATCATTTGAATACTTTATCAAGTGTATGGAACATGACGCTTTTTTTGCCATGCCGTTCTTTCGTGCATACTAACCGCTACATCCCAACACGCCACGATAAACCGCGCGAAATAACGCCTGTGTATGGCCAGCTAATGTACGAATTTTTCCCACCATTTTTTAAATTTGTCCCACTGCAAATTTGTCCTATTTTTTAAATTTATCTGAATGTGCGAATTTGTCCTTTCGTTTTTTAAATGTATCCCAATGTGCGAATTTGTCCTTCCGTTAATAAATTAACACCAATGTGCGGATATTTCCCACCATTTTTTAAATTTGTCCCATTGTGCGAATTTGTCCTTTCGTTTTTTAAATTTACCCCAATGTGGGAATTTTTCCAACCAATTTTTAAATTTGCCCCACCGTGCGAATTTGAAAAAGTTTTCTGTAAATTCAAAGTTTGGCTACCGGATAACAGATGGCGCTGTTCACTGCAATTTTTTAATTTGCCCCACTGTGCAAATTTTTCAAACCAATTTTTAAATTTATCCCACTGTGCGAATTCGTCCTTCCATTTTTTAAATTTGTCTCACTGTGCGAATTTGTCCCACTATTTTTTAAATTTGTCTCACTGTGCGAATTTGTCCTTTCGTTTTTTAAATTTATCCCACCGTGCGAATTTTTCCTCTCATAATTAAAATTTATCCCACTGTGCGACTTTTTCCAACCAATTTTTAAATTTGTCCCACCGTGCGAATTTGATAAAGTTTTCTGTAAATTCAAAGTTTGGCTATCGGATAACAGATGGCGAAGTATGCGTTAAACAGCGCCATCTGTTATCTGGTAGCCAACTTTGAATTTACAGAAAACTTTAAATTCGCACGGTGGGGGCAAATTTAAAAAAATAGGAGGACAAATTCGCACAGTGAGGCAAAATTTAAAAAATAGGGAGAAAAATTTGTCCTCCTATTTTTTAAATTTGCCCCACTGTGCGAATTTGATATAGTTTTCTGTAAATTCAAAGTTTGGCTACCAGATAACAGATGGCGCTTCACCGCAATTATGACATGCTGCGCCATCTGTTATCCGGTAGCCAAACTTTGAATTTACAGAAAACTTTATCAAATTCGCACAGTGGGGCAAATTTAAAAATTGGTTGGAAAATTTCGCACAGTGGGACAAATTTAAAAAAGGTTGAAAAAATTTGCACATTGGGACAAATTTAAAAACGAAAGTACAAATTCGCACAGTCGGATAAATTTAAATTATGGGAGGAAAAATTCGCACAGTGGGATTAATTTAAAAAACGAAAGGAAAAATTCGCAGTGAGACAAATTTAAAAAATAGTAGGACGAATTCGCACAGTAGGATAAATATAAAAGATGAAAGGACAAATTCGCACAGTGAGACAAATTTAAAAAATGGAAGACGACTTAAAAAATAGGAAAACAAATTCGCACAGTGAGATAAATTTAAAAAACCGTGGGGAAAAATTCGCACATTGGGGTAAATATAAAATATAGGAGGCCAAATTCGCACAATGTGACAAATTTAAAAAATAGTGGAAAAAATCGCCCATTGGGATAAATTTAAAAAATAGGAGGACAACTCGCACAGTGGGACAAATTTAAATAATCGTGGGAAAAATTCGCCCATTGGGGTAAATTTAAAAACGAAAGGACAAATTTGCACAGTGAGATAAATTTCAAAAATAAGAGAACAAATTCGCACAGTGGGACAAATTTAAAAAATAGGGAGAAAAATTCGCAAATTGAATTAAATTTAAAAAATAGAAGGACAAATTCGCACAATGGGACAAATTTAAAAAATGATGGCAAAAATTTGCACATTGGGCTAAATTTAAAAACGAAAGGACAAATTTAAAAAATGATGGCAAAAATTTTCACATTGGGCTAAATTTAAAAACCAAAGGACAAATTTAAAAAATGGTGGGGAAAATTCGCACATTGGGGTAAATTTAAAAATGAAAGTAAAATAATGGAAGGAAAAATTCGCAAAAAATGGAAGAACGAATTCACAGTGGCCACCAAACGAAAGTGGTTTTTTCCTCCAAGTTTCAAAGCAATGAAACAAAATAACCTTCCTGAAAATGATTTATTTCTCTGCAACCGCTATTACAACTAGCTTATTTACTTCGATGATGTGATCAAAGTATATATATATTATAAATTTTTTATTAAACACATAAAATATTCTTTTTCTTATCGTTGATTAAAAATACTAATATTATTACCATTGAGTAAAGAAGTGGGGTTATTGTTATTACCATACTACCATTGAGTAAAGACTTCTTTACTCAATGATACTACATTATAATCTGTGCTAGTAGTTCAAATGAACATTATTGAGGTTATGTTACTAATTTGAATTCAAAACAGTTTGAATTGCATTAAAGTGCCTCTACCGGCTGCCTATTCGCCAAATTATTATTTCTTGGACGACATTTTGGCGACGCAAGAGAGAGCACCATGCAAATTTGCTGTCAACGTTCCAAAAATGGGTAAAATACATTCTAAACATCCATCAATCTGATCTAACTTATCGTTCGACAGTGTTTTAAATCCGTCAGCAGAAGAAGTAGACTTAAAAGCGGGAACAAATCTGGAGCTGCCAGTGTGGCTGGTAACGGAAATGGCAGTCAATCCTGATCTTAACAAAATATACAGTTCAGCAGCAATCGTTTAAAATCCATTATCTCTCGTCATTTGACTTGTTAAAATTGGGTAAATAAGTTTATTTTTAATTTAAACAACTGCCAATTTATAAATTTACTACAGAATAAAGAACTTCGACCAGAGTTGTGATCTCAAAACAAAACAAAAAAACAGTACATTTTTGTAGTATTTAATTTGAATTGAATATCTATAAAAACAATAATTTAGGTATTTACATGAATACTATAAGTAACCTTCTCAAAAAACCATCCAAATCCTTCGAAAACCTCAATAAGCCCCTCCGCTGTTAATAGCATCGATCTCCTTCTCGTCCAAGGGCTGTCTCCTCCATCTGGGTGGCAGTTGAAAATCGTAGATGGGCTCTGCGTTACCGGCAGCCCCTTTGGCGGCTGCTTGCCCGGGGGCGGCAGCTGCGGCGCTGGGCTTCGGATTTTGGTCCCTCGCCATACTGCCGTAACGAAATTTGATCAATTTCGCCCTCACCGGGTGACTTTGAGACAGCGTTCGTATTATAGTATTCATTTCGTACGCCTGAAAGTTACACAAATCGTGTTTTTCACTGTTAATTAACGAGAAACGTCCAAAATACCTACCGATTCGATTGTTTTGACTTATGTCATCTTTCGACACTGTTGCCGAGTGTGTTTTATATTTGACAGTTTAGGTTTTATTACATGCAAAAAAATGATTAAATATGAAATGTATTGGTTAAATTGTTATATTTAACTATTACTACGTCCTACTGGATATTTTGTAATGAATTATACAATACAATTTGCAAAATTTCACATTTCAACTATAGCCGGCAACGCTGTGCGTAATAACCTAAAAATTTATTTTAAGATTTTCTAAATTTTTAAAGAATTTGCTGTATTTAACGATGAAATTGACAAAAAATATACATAGTTTTAATAAAGCATACACATTTAATGTATTTTTACACACAAGATTTAACAAACTCGGTTTTTAAGTATGAACAGTAGCAGCCATTTAAATAGGACATTTCAAAAATATACAGTAGTTTCCAAATTTGGTGATTCAAACATTTTTCACAATTCATATGGTGTTTCTTCGGAGGGCATTATTTCTAGTATATTTGATTTGGGGGGCAATATTTCTGGTGCGGATTTTTCTAAAAAAAGTTCATAAACTTCTACCCTATAGGTAATTGATTTTTGAAAATATCTCGCCTTAAATTTGTCCTACGATATTTATGGTTATTACAAAAATTATTGATAAAGCGATTCTCTACAAAAAATTAAACATATATTTAAAAAGCTTATACAACATTTTCGTAGGAAATTTAATTTTACACAATTTTGGTAATAAACCAAAATACCGTAAGAGCAATAGAAAACCAGTTAAAAACAAAAAACGTTTTTAACCATTTTTTTAAAATCATAAACAACTGTTTAAACCTGATGAATCCTGTTCAACATCTTTTAAATTTACATAATCATCCACTATAGTGATTGAGTGTACTAAAATAGCCACCATTCCCAATATAACATAAATATAAATGTCTAAAAAAGTGCCGAACAACAATTTCGAAAAAGCCCAAACTAAAGGGTGTTGTAAAAATACTCTGACACTTTTAGATATTGTAGCGAAAACCTAAAAAAAATTACAAAGCAATTTTTCTATAAATATTTCTTCAAACCTGAAATGTTTTTTTCACAATCAACTTCAACACCACAAACAAAAAAGCTTGTATTTCGTTTACTTTTCTTATATTTTCGTACTGAATGGAAGCCATGAAAGGTGACTGAAAAATGTGTCTGTTCCCTTCTATGGTGCAGAGAATGTTTCTTTCAGCTTCCATTTGATCTTGCAAGGGATTTTGAACAGCCATTATTAATTCTGTATTGTGAAAAAAATCGACAAAAAGTCAAAATTGAAGTGCAACCTTGGAGTATACAACACATGGAGTGCTATATTCTCAAGCCATTACCATAGACTTGTTATATTGTCTTAAGTCTATCCCTCTCATAAAAAAAAAAACAAGAAATCCATGAAATGCACCGACCACTCACAGCACAGCGTCATAACTTATGACATCCCAAGATTGCCCTATTTTTATGTTTTACATTGTGATTTTGTTAATAAATTATATAATTATATATAATATATTATTATTATATAATTATAATTATCTATTATATGCGGAATTTTTATCACCCGTAAACTAAACGATTGGGTAAACAATCTTAAAATATATTTTTTTTTTGGAAAAGTCATAATTTACCCTGTTGAACTTGCGCCAAAAATTACGCGTAACTGATATCATTGAGTAAAATGTTGGGTCAATGCTGATATAATAATAATATAATAAACGTTTTCAAGCGTTGTCAAGTTTAACATATTAACCAGTATTACCTATTTTATTTGATACAAAATGTAAAATTAATTTTTATCCAGACTGCGGCAACGTAGCAAATTTAGGGGTTTGGTTGGTAAATACGAAACCAAAATTGGTTGCATTGATTAAAACAAACTAAATTAATTATAAATGTAATTTTAATGTAATTAAGGTTATGTTTAAATTATTGTAGGTTACATTGAACGGTTGTCAATTCGTAGTCAAAAATGCAATTATTTTGGCTTTGGTGGTGCTTGGATGAGTAAAATCATATAAAAAGTAGTTAAATATAGGTGACTACGGCCCAGGAGAGACAAAGTATTCCTAGCGGATAACAATCTTCGCTTTAAAAAGAATTTATATAAAAAATTAAATTTTTTTGTGAACACACGTGAATGTTGTCCAATAATTGGACTCCAATGGTGAATGGGTATTTTGTTAAAGCCACTGGATGTTAATACTTGCAGTGGCTTAATAATAATTATAATGTATACATTGTCCAGGACTATTAATGATCAGTAACTTGCAAATTGAAAGAAGAAAAAGTTTCGTGATTATTGCTTATCGCTTTAAATCCAAATGAATGCTATTTTCAAAGACAGGAAAATTCACTACTAGATTTTTCACAAAAAAGTTGAAAATAATTTTTATTTTTTGGTTTTTTAATTCCCCCTTATTTTTTAAATTTTTGAAATAATGTGTGATTTAATATTTGTTAAACCAAAAACGTTACTTTTTTACTCCAAAAATGTCCATAAGGCGATGTACTTTTTCTGCCATTGAGGCATTTGGGCCAAATGGGACAGTTGAAATTTTCAAATGAAAATTTCAACTTTGAAAGTTTCAAACTTGAAATATTTCATTTAGTTGGAAAAGTGAAATTTTTAAAAATTTAAAATGAAATTTTCAATCCGAAAATATCAACATTGCCTGTAAAACTTTCAGAGATTTCATTGAAAGTTTCGCAATTTACTGAAAATTTCGCATAAATTTCACATGCGGCCTCCCCTAGGACCTTTAAGTGAAATTTTCCAACCCCAAATGATTTGGCATAACTTTAGCGAAATGAAGTTTTCCCCTTAAAAGTTCTTTTACTTTGGAATCTGATATTATTTTTGGCATAGTTATCTTTTTAAATCGATATTATATAATAATTAACAAGTAAATTATCAATAAAAAATATTACTGTCAATTTGACAGTGTCAGATTATTTAATTAAGGTCTTCAACAGAAGTATCAAAATAAAAAAAAATTAACTGTATTTAAATCCTTAACATCTTTTTTTTAATTGTAGAAATGTAACAAAAAATCCCTAAAAACCCTAAAAATGTTAAAAACAGATAAAACCAATCAAATAACTAAAAAAATACAAATAGCATAAATTTGTGAAAATTCAAACGGGGAAACCGTCTGGTAATTCGGCAACGTCGCCCATAGAGAAACCAAGTGAGTACCCCGTTGGCGAATTTTTTTTCAGTCGACTTTATCTAATCTATGTGTGCGTAAGATGGCGTGTAACGGCGGCGGCAGTGTCGAAACGAACGGCGGCAACGGAACGATGAACGGCTCGCCGAGAAAACGGCCGCGCACCGAGGCCCACAGTAAAGTGACCGTCGTCCTGGGGGCGCAATGGGGCGACGAGGGCAAAGGGAAAGTGGTCGACATGCTCGCCACGGAAATGGACGTCGTGTGCAGGTGTCAGGTGGGTAAATCAAAACGCACTGGCAACGCTGCAATTAAGTTTTCCGCGCAAAAAACTGAGCAGGCTTGGTTTTCGGTGTTTGACGTTTGTAAACGTCAAAGTGACACTTTGAAAGTGTCACAGTAAAAAAGGCCGGATTATAAGTTATAGTTATTACATTATTCTTATTTTGTCGAAATTTAAATTTATAGCTTGTATAAAAGCTCCTATAGGATCACAAAAATAAAATTTTACGAATAGCTGTGATGACATTGTAACAAAATACCTATAGGAATATCAAGTTAAAGATCAAAAACCTTAAAAAAATTACAATTATTGTTTTTTTTTAATATTTAATGTTCTAGAAGCTTGGACGTTAACTCAAAGTTATTTCCATGTAATAAAATCCAACAAGTGCCAACTTTTTATTTTATTTGTAAATTTAATTTAATTTATGTCGAGAATATTTTTTTAGACATGCCATTAATAATTTTATAATAATAATAATTTTTTGTTTTTTTTTTTTCAGGCTGGCAATAATGCTGACCATGCAGTTGTCACAAATGGAGTTGAATACAATTTTCATTTGTTACCCTGTGGCATCATCAATCCAAATTGCAAATCTCTTATTGGTAACTTTTACTTAAAATTGTTTATCTTCTCCTCTATTGACAAATATAATTTGATAAAGAAATAATTTAATTAAAAAAAAAATTATAGAAAAATAATTTGATGAAAAAAAATTTTGATAAACAATTAATTTGACAAAAATATAATTTGATAAAAAAATAATTTGGTAAATACAAACTATAAAAAAAACACCAAAAATGGAAAGCACCTTTTTTGTAGAACATTTTCCGATCTACTAACTTTATAATGAATAAAAATTTCGTAATGTTAATAATAAGCGAGATATTTGCAAAAAACCATATGGCGCGGCACTAAAATATGTATTTTTCTTAATAACTTTAAAAATATAACAAATACATAAAAAATGTATGGGACCTTTTATGTAGAAAATTTTTTGATCTACAAGTGTTATGACAAAAAAATCGTCAGATCAATACCACGCGAGATATTAGCAACAAACTATGTGCCGCGGCAGAATTTTTTTTAACTGTCTTAAGAATGAAAACTTAAGGTGGATGTAATTTCTGACAGGTAATGGAGTGGTTATTCACTTGCCCGGTTTGTTCGACGAGATCGAGAAGAACGAGAAAAAAGGCCTGAAAAACTGGGCCGAACAATTGGTGATCTCTGACCGAGCGCACTTGGTGTTCGATTTCCATCAGCAAGTGGACGGTTTGCAGGAGCAGGAGAACAACCAGAAAGGTCAGGGCCTGGGGACGACCAAAAAAGGGATCGGCCCGACTTACAGCTCCAAAGCCACGAGGAACGGCCTGCGGGTGGGGGACCTTCTGGGGGACTTTGCGCACTTCTCCAAGAAGTTCGAGCAGTTAGCCAACATGCACCAGAGGATGTTCCCCAGCTTGCAAGTGGACGTCAAGGGGGAGTTGAGGAAGTACGAGAAGTTCGCGCAGAAAATCGAGCCCCTAGTTTTCGACACTGTCTCCTTTTTGGACAAGTCTCTGAGAGAAGGCAAGAAGGTGCTCGTGGAGGGAGCCAATGCCGCCATGTTGGACATCGATTTCGGTGAGGATTTTAAAGCACCATCCGAGACGACTCAAAAACGTCTTGTTGTTACATTTTAGGTACTTATCCCTATGTTACCTCGTCCAACTGCAGTGTGGGAGGGGTTTGCACAGGTCTCGGTATTGCACCAATGAGAATAGGGGAAGTGATTGGAGTAGTTAAAGCTTACACCACCAGGGTGGGCGACGGGCCATTCCCCACAGAACTTAAAGATGTATGTTGCGTGCATATCCACTTTCCGGGCAGTTCTGACTCTTTTGTTTTTAGGAAATTGGTGATTTGATGCAGAGCAGGGGCGGGGAAATCGGGATGACCACCTATAGAAAACGGCGCTGCGGTTGGTTGGACGTTTTTCTTTTGCAGTACACAAACTTAATAAACGGATACAGCGCCCTCTGCCTTACGAAGTTGGACATTTTAGACACCCTTCCCGAATTAAAATTGGCGGTCGCGTATTTGTTGAAGGGAAAGAAGATCCCCTATTTCCCGTCTACCGCTTCCGATCTAGCCAAAGTAGAGGTAAAGAAGTTGTTTTTTATACCAAATGACACTCGAATTTTGATTTTTTTTTTTTTACAGGTAGAATATATTACTATGCCTGGGTGGCAAACCAGCACAGTGAATGTGAGAAAATTCTCAGATTTACCCGAAAATGCCAAAAATTATATTAACAAAATTGAAGAAATCCTTAATGTTCCAGGTAAGTTAATTTTAGTCGTTGTTTATTTTTTTGGTAAGGTTGGAGGTTTAAGGATATTTTTAGATAACTTTAATTTTTTTAAACTTTTTATAGGTCATACATCTAAAAAACGCAGAAAAAGACTGCACAAGCGATGCATGTTGTTTTTTGCAAATATCTCGATATCTAGTGATCAAGCGACATTTAAGGTTATTAGAAATAATGTAGATAAGACAATTTCGAACAAAAAAGGTTCTATACATTTTTGACGTAAGGCAAATCGTTTAAGAAATATCGCAAAAAGTGTTACCTATAAAAGAAAAGCTTTATAGTGCGATATCTTACGAACGCTTTGTCCTAGTTGAAAAATGTATATGACTTTTTTTGTGGAGAATTTCCCGATTAACAATTTTTATTATGACTAAAATGTTGCAAGTCCAGTATAAAGTGAGATATTTGCAAAAAACAAAGTGCCGCGGCACGACTTTTTCTGAAGTAAAACTTATTAGCAAAATACACATATTAAAAAGTATAAAGTACGTTAGGTAAGCATTTTGTCGTCTTGTAACGTAAGGTTTCCCGAACATTTGTCCAATGAAACCGAAAATAAATTTAATCGTCGATTAAAAAATACAAATGTTTCTGTAGATACAATTTTACAAATAACAAGGTTTCATTTTTTACAAACAATAAGTTACTACAGCCTTTTTGAAATCTTAAATATTACAGGAGGTATGTTTAGCTAGTTTTTTTAATTACCTACAATTATAATTACAATATAATGAAAATAAATTATTAAGTGCCTAACATATTTTTTTAAATCTTTTCACAATAGCGCTTTTATTTTATTTTTTCGTCACTAAGAATGCCTGCGATTTTTACATTGTACACATTTTTATTATTATTAATATCTACATTGCCAAAATCAAAAAAATCAATTAAAAATTTAAGTAAATTACGAACTTTTCAATTTTGTATTTTAAACCACTATGTATAATGGTAATATAAAAAATTTAAACATAATAAACTGGAACTTAAAAATTCAAAAAATGTGTAAAAATCGCATCAGGCATTTTAAACTTATTTTTGGCCAGCGATTTTTGATACCAAAAAAGTTGGGAAATTAGTAAAAATAATAATTAATAAATAAATAGTCCAGTTAAGTTACACTTTCACTTCTAAAAAATGTTTTTTTTGGTGCCGCGTCACGTTGTTTTTTGAAAATATCTCGTTATCTAGTGGTCGGACGATTTTTTAGGTTATTAGAAAAAATGTAGGTAATAGAATTTTGAACAAAAAAGTTCTAAACACTTTTGTCGTAAGTCGAACCGTTTGAGAAATATCCCAAAAAGTGTTACCCATGAGAGAAAAACTTTATAGTGCGATATCTCACAAACGGTTAGTCGTAGATGAAAAATCAATATAACTTTTTTGTGGAGAATTGTTCAAAAATGTCGTATGTCCAGTAGAAAGTGAGATATTTGCAAAAAACAAAGTGCCGCGGCACAACTTTATTTATGTAAAAAAATATCTTTTTCGTTTTTCCAGTGAGATGGATAGGAGTTGGCAGAGGCAGGGAGTCAATCATACCCCATAACAATTAAATAATAAATATTAACATTCAGTATCTCAATCTGCATTTTAAAGGTGTAAAAGTGGCCTAACTAATTATTAATTGTTTTTTCTTGTGGTGCTCCAGACCTGGTTGTTCTTGTTAAGTTGTATGTTTGCAAGTTGAATTAAATTAAATAAAAAGTTATATTTTTATAAAGGAGTTTATATTGGAACTATTAGGAATTATTAAAAAGTTCCTAAAAAATTATGTAGTTGTTATGTTTATCGCAATAATTTTTTCGTTAGGAAAAAATATATTTTAAATACTTTATGGAGTTTTATTTTAGTCCTAGGTAAGAGCATACAACACATGGAGGGCAATTTTATGTAAATTTAAAATCTGGCAACACTGTTTTTTGGTAATAATCTAAAACACAGATTATAAAGGTTGATCTAAAATATCATGAGCAATAGAAAACTAGGTATAAGCTAAAAACGTTTTTCATCATTTTTGTTTAAATCATAAACCTGATAAATCCTGTGTAACAGCTTTAAAATTTACATAATCATCCACTATAGTGATTGAGTGTACTAAAATAGCCACCATTCCCAATATAACATAAATATAAATGTCTAAAAAAGTGCTGAACAACAATTTCGAAAAAGCCCAAACTAAAGGGTGTTGTAAAAATACTCTGACATTTTTAGATATTGTAGCGAAAACCTAAAAAAAATTACAAAGCAATTTTTTTATTAATATTTCTTCAGACCTGAAATGTTTTTTTCACAATCAACTTCAACACCACAAACAAAAAAGCTTGTATTTGGTTTACTTTTCTTATATTTTCGTATGGAAGCCATGAAAGGTGACTGAAAAATGCGTCTGTTCCCTTTTATGGTGCAGAGAATGTTTCTTTCAGCTTCCATTTGATCTTGCAAGGGATTTTGAACAGCCATTATTAATTCTGTGTTGTAAAAAAATCGACAAAAAGTCAAAATTGAAGTACAGCCTTGGAGTATACAACGCATGGAGTGCTATATTATCAATAAAACAACAATAAAACTTTGACAAATAAATAAAAGTCTATTATATTTTACACCGAAATATTACATTTCCAGAAAATAAAAATGTCGGCAAAATCCGAAGATTCATATTTGAGTAATTTCGAGATTGAATATGAAGGTATTTAAATCAAAATCAACATTTTTCTATTATTTAAATCAAAAATTTCAGATTTGAGTGACGAACATTTGGTGAAGTTGGTGAAAGATCTCGAGAAAGCCTTAAAATACGATCAACTCGAAAATAAATACCTCCTCACATATTTACAAATTAATGAGCCCGAAATGAAAGATAGTAAGTTTTTTCAAACCACTATACGCTAAAGAAGCATCGGGTTTTCGCAACGCGCGCGCCATCTGGTGGTGAATTGAAGAATTGTCAACCACACATCTAAAGCATACAAACTGCTCATCACTATTTAAATAAATAAGTAGTTTTTTAAACCTTCCAGTGGGAATATTCTTAGGATCATGCTATATTTCTTCTAGTCATGTTCTAAGATTTTTTTTTAAACCTTCCAGTGAGAATATTCTTAGGATCATGCTATATTTCTTCTAAAGAACATGCTTAAAAGAAATATAGCATAATCCTAAGGCCTATAGGCAGGTTCTTAGAAGGTGCAAAGTTTAGTGGTAAAAATTAATCCACTCTAAACATATGCTTAGAATGTTGAGAAAGTAATTGCTATAGAAATTTCATTTAGGAATATTCCTGGAACATTCTGTTAAGCATATTCAGTTCAGTTAGGTACCTATATAATTGTAAAATATACCATAATCTACGTTTAAAGGTACCTATACTTGGTATTAAATACTAAGTAAAAAACACAACCCAAAATATTTTTTTTTATAGTTATTTGTCAAATTAAAACAATATTCGATAACAAAAGTACTTTTACTATAGGTATCTAAATTATCCGGCTTTTACATAAAACCTTCTATCCAACTTAAATACAATGAAAAATGTTTTTTTATGAAGAACTATTTGGTTTTTTCTTTTATGAAGAATTATTTTATAAGGAAATATTTTGTTTTTCATATTTTATTTTATGTTAAAAATAAATATTTATTAATTTGTATACCGATTTTTTATTTCTGAATTAACATTTTTATGTATAATAATCCTAACTATCTTCAACTTCAATCTAATCTGACTTATCCCACAAAATTTTCCAATTTTACTTTTTATGAAATAATGTCATACAACTTATGGTTCAGAGGTCAAATTGTTTATTTAATATTTTTAAATAAATATATATTAATATGTCGCAAAATTTTTTAAGGGGACGACAAATACATTTCACTGTCATATTATGACAGTGAGGCGTATTTGTCGCCTCCTGAAGAATTTTACGAATGTAGAATCCAACATATTAGAACGTGGGTATCTGACATATTTGGAAATATTCTCAAAAGCTTCCTAGAAGCTCCATAAGAAACCTTCTAAGAACATTCGAAAAACGTATTCTTAAAATGTTCTTAGAATGCTTTTTAGGAAGGTTTTAAGAAAAGGTTTTAAGAATCTAATTGCATCATTAAAAGGGTATCTATTGAATGTTTGAAAAGTCCCTAAGAACATTATTAGCAATAAGGGAAAGTTCTAAGAATGTTCCATTATTCCGGGTCATATCTTCTTAGAAGATTCTTAGAATCAAATTTTGCTATCAGGGAGTAGTCTTACCCGACAAATTTTGTTCAATTGCACTTAAATTAAGTAATTCCAAACCTTATTATATTTTTAATGTTTTTAGTGTACGAAACTTATATACGCAATCTGGAGTTAAAATCAACAGCAAAAGAAGAAAAATCGTCTTCACACAACTCGATGAACGCTTCTTTGTGCTCCAGCAGAAGACTCAGCGTTAGGTCCTCAAATTCTCAGTCCTCAAGAAAAAGGTTCTACTCTCATAAAATTACGAAAAAATAAACGCACTATTTTTTCGTTATTTTTTAGAGCTTCTTTAAGCGTTTTTCTCAAAACAGAACTGCTCGTTTCGATAATGGACGAAGCGCAAACCACTTATGAGAAATTCAAAAAGGAGTCGCACAAAGTTTTGGAGACCTACAAAGCCGAACAAGAGGAAGGTAAAATAGCAGCTGACATTCTTGAAAAAGCACTGGAAGCGTTTGAAAAAGATGTGGTTGTAGATGGGTTTGACCCTTTGACTCAAAGAATACATGCGGAGAAATTTACCAGGCAATGAATAACATTTATTTAAGTCTATACAGTTGCCATATAGTTGTCAATACCTAGATTTAGGAGGTTCGCGCAATATATACACGTTTTTGTATTCTGTGTTGCCGTCTCACAGGCGCAGATTATATGCAACTTCTACAAGGCAATGGGGTAGTTAAATTTTTTCTGACCTATACTTTTTATGGTTTTATTCAAGGCAAACATTTCTGTGAAATCAGAATTTTAATTGAGTTTACCGTTTTCGAGATATTTACAAAAAATATAAATTTTTATGACGTCATAAACCTCGCCATGTGACCAACATTCTAAGATTTCTATTGGTTGAAAATTACCCTGTTGTCAAGTTGTCTTGTTAATGATTTCATTCGGTTATGTCAGAAAATACCCGAAGAGGTTATGTACAAATACTGTCACTGTCAGTTGAGTGAAAGATGGTCACCAAATTCATTAAGTACTTATCTTCCTTATTACGAGGTATCATATTACTGTTTGATATTTTAGAGTCCAAGATATATCTAAAATAATATAAAGAACTAGGCATTATACTAATGAAATGCATTTACGACAAAATATGATTATAATTATAGGTAGGTACTTACGTTATTTGTTTAAAAGCTCCAATGTTCAATGTAACCAACCATTCCACAAGATTCCTCTGCTTTGGAGTCCGTTATTAATAAATCACTTATCTAATATCAATTACAAATAACATAACAATAACTTTGATTTTCAATCTAAATTAAAAAAAAAACATAACCCAAACAAAAGAAACGTCAAAAAATCAATTCTTCCTCTTCTCAACTAAAATTATGGATCAAGTGGTTTTAAAACTAAAATATTATAACGTGGCGCCATCTATCGTAAGAATATTAAACTAAACACACTGGCAACCATAGAAAAAGTGACGTAATTAGGAGATTTTTTTTTTGTAAATATCTCAAAAACGGTAAACTCAATTGAAATTCCGATTTCACAGAAATGTTTAAAATTACAAAACGCCTTGAATAAAGCCATAAAAAGTATAGGTCAGAAAAAATTTAACTACCCCATTCTAAAATCTTATAAATGCAAATTTTAAATATGTTCTCATTTAACAGGCATATGGCTGAATTATCGAAATTCAACCAATCGATTATCCAGAAACTGATCCTGTACACAAATTACGAGAAACTTACTTTAAAAAAATTGACATTGCTGTTCGCACAGAGAGAACAATTGGCGGAAAACGTGCAAGCAGTCGATTTTGAGCAGTTGGTGATCGAAAACAAAAATTTGAACCAAAAATTTCAGGCGCACATAAAAAACGTCAAAATATTGAAAACATTGAACGGTAATAAAAATTGTTTAAATAAAAAAAAATTAAAATATTGATGATCTTAGGGTGGGCCAATTTGGTGAGAAGCACGTACAAACATTATTTGAAAGACCAGGCTCGGGAGATTGTACATTTTAAAGAAGTAATGCAAGAACAAAAATTAAGGAATCAAAATTTATTGAAAGAAATCAGTCGGGTTAGAAGGGAACTCGAAGAGGCAGAATCAGATTACAATACTGTTAAAACCTTAAAAGAAACCTATCGAGTGAGTATATACAGGGTGTCCAAAAAATGACGCTCCAACAAGTGAATTTCTAAATATAATTTTTTTTTATTTTAAATTTTCCTTTAAAATCTTAAGTTTTCGTTACTTTTAAAATCACCAAATTCCCAACATTTAAAAGTATAAAATTGTTTGATAAAATCACCAAAATTTTTAAAAATTTTAAGTTTTTTTGTTAAATTTCAAACTTTCAATAATTTATAATTTGAGTTTTCTTTCCATAATTTTTTTTATTAAAATTTAAAAAAGGCCTTTAATTTTATACTTAATTATCAAAATTTTTAAAATTTAATGAATTTATAATTTTCTAAATATGATTTTTTTTTAAATTTAAATTTTCCTTTGAAATCTTAAGTTTTCGTTACTTTTAAAATCACCAAATTCACAACATTTAAAAGTATAAAATTGTTTGATAAAATCACCAAAATTTTTAAAAATTTTAAGTTTTTTTTTAATTTCAAACTTAAATAATTTTAAAATTTGAGTTTTCTTTCAAAAAAATTTAAAATTTAAATTTTTTATTAAAACTTCAAAAAGGCCTTTAATTTTAATCACCAAATTCACAACATTTAAAAGTTGTTTGATAAAATCATCAAAATTTCTAAAAAATTTATGTACGTTTTTTTTTAAATTTCAAACTTACTATAATTTTAAAATTTGAGTTTTCTTTCCATAATTTTTAAAATTTAAATTTTTTATTAAAATTTCAAAAAGGTCTTTAATTTTATACTTAATTATCAAAAATTTTAAAATTTAATGAATTTATAATTTTCTAAATATGATTTTTTTTTAATTTAAATTTTCCTTTGAAATCTTAAGTTTTCGTTACTTTTAAAATCACCAAATTCAAAACATTTAAAAGTATAAAATTGTTTGATAAAATCCCCAAAATTTCAAAAAATTTTAAGTTTTTTTTTTAATTTCAAACTTAAATAATTTTAAAATTTTTCTTTCCATAAATTTCAAAATTTAAATTTTTTATTAAAATTTCAAAAAGGTCTTTAATTTTATGCTTAATTAAAATTTTTTTTTAAATTTAATGAATTTATAATTTTCTAAACATCACATTTTTTTAAAATTTATATTTTCCTTTAAAATCTTAAGTTTTCGTTACTTTTAAAATCACCAAATTCCCAACATTTAAAAGTATAAAATTGTTTGATAAAATCACCAAAATTTCTAAAATTTGAGTTTTCTTTCCATAAATTTTTAATTTTTTATAAATTTCAAAAAGGCCTAATTTTATACTTGATTATCAAAAATTTTAAAATTTAATGAATTTATAATTTTCTAAATATGAAATTTTTTAAAATATAAATATTCCTTTGAAATCTTAAGTTTTCGTTACTTTTTAAATCACCAAATTCCCAACATTTAAAAGTATAAAATTGTTTGATAAAATCACCAAAATTTCTATAATTTTTAAATTTCAAACTTTAAATAATTTTAAATTTTGAGTTTTCTTTCAAGTAGGCCTTTAATTTTACACTTAATTATCAAAATTTTTAAAATTTAATGAATTTATAATTTTCTAAATATGAAATTTTTTTAAAATTTAAAATCCTTTGAAATTTTATGTTTTCGTTACTTTTAAAATCACCAAATTCTCAACATTTAAAAGTATAAAATTGTTTGATAAAATCACCGAAATTTATAAAAAATTTAAGTTTTTTTTTAAATTTCAAACTATAATTTTAAAAGTTGAGTTTCTTTCCATAAATTCTAAAATTTAAATTTATTATTAAAATTTCAAAAAGGCCTTTAATTTTATACTTAATTATCAAAAATTTTAAAATTTAATGAATTTATAATTTTCTAAATATAAAATTTTTTTAAATATAAATTTTCCTTTGAAATCTTAAGTTTTTTTTTACTTTTTAAATCACCAAATTCCCAACATTTAAAAGTATAAAATTGTTTGATAAAATCACCAAATTTTCTAAAACACCCTGTACTTTTAGGTTCCCAGCACCATGAAATACATCGAATTAAAAGATGAGCTGTATAATAAAAACAGTCGTATTACCATAATACAAAGGCGTAAAAAAATATTAGATGTGAGGGTTAAAAGTAAAAAATAATCTTTTACGATTATTTTTTTAATTAATTCGTGGTTTATTAATTTTTAAATTTTTAGATAGCTATTTTAGCGTGTTCAGCCCAAATGAAACATTTAGTGGGCACTAAGAAAGTGAACCCGAAATGGTTCAAGTAAGTTTTTAAATTTAATGTAGAATTTATTATATTATATTATTTTTTTAAGGGATATCAAAAAGAAGGATTCTTATAGTTTAATCAATTCTACAACATAAGTATAATTATCTATTATAATATTTACATTTAGTACTATTTTGACACCATTTTAATAAAATATGCACCCTTTTTGTGCGTTATCAACAAACGCATTATTTTTAATCACTTATTATGCGTTAACTAATTTAAATCTGGCGATTGTGTTTGTGTTTTATCAATTACCTAATTTTTTGGGTATAAAAAGGTGGAAAATGTATTTTTTAATCAAAATAGTTTCAACATGAAGTTCCTAGTGTGCCTGGCTTTCTTAGCAGTAGTTTTGGCAGAGGTGAGAATTTTTTTAAATATTATTTTTTTATAATGTTTCTTAATATGGATTTAGCCATCATTTAATATAAACGTAATGTAATTTGGTGTATTTTAACAAAATATTTGGGCAATTTATACAACATTTGGTGTTTTTTGAAACCGATGTTGGCAAGACTGTGGTTGACTGAATGATATATATCTTTACTTTTAAGCATAACACAAAGATTTTAAGCATAAAACAATTAACAAACCTTGATAATTATATTAACCAGAGACTCTGATATAACTAACCTTTAAACATTCTATGGGAAATGTTGTTGTTAATAAGGTTGGTATTACGACGCGCAATACCAACATTTTCATGTAATAAAATTTAAACTTGGCCTACTTTACACTACTTTACGTTACAATAAATGCTGAGTAAATCCCCCTTTATATTTACTTATTAAATAGGGGGACAATTCCACCGATTTCAACGAAATTGAAAATGAAATGGCCGAAATGGCTACAAAGGTAGTGGGGGGGTCCGAGGTTAAGCCACATTCAGTACCCTACCAGGTAAAACTTGTTTTTTTTTCGTAAAAAAAAAATCTAAAAATATTTTTTTTTAAGGTGGCTTTACATTTAGTCGGCTACTCGAACCAGGTTTCTTTCTGTGGGGGCTCCCTAATCGACCAAAGAACCGTCCTAACCGCGGCCCATTGCGTGCAAAAGTAAGAAAAATATCGATTAAAAATTATTTTATTTGATTTAAATCTAGTAAGCTATAAAATGGTACAAGAAAATAAGTTTTTTTTTCTTTTGGCATTGTTTTTACAGACATTTGTTACACTTACAAAACTTGACAATGGCTTTAAAAAGAAAAAGTTTCGTGATTATTGCTTATCTTTTTCAAACCAGGAAAATTAACCACTAGATTTTTCACAAAAAGGTTGAACCTAACAGCAAATTTTTTTTATTTTTTGTTTTTTTATTTCCCCCTTATTTTTTAAATTCCAAAAATTCACGCTTAAAAAATGTGTAAATTATCAATAATAAATATTACTGTCAGAGTATTTAATTAAGGTCTTCAGCAGAAGTTTTATTGCGTTGGCACTACAGAATGTCATGACATGTCAGTGTGAATCTGTGACGCGTCAAGATGGCGGCTTGACACTAGATTAAAAATAAGATTGTACTAGAAGATATTTTCCAGCGCCAGACAAGCCAGAGTAACTTTCGGGGCCCACAACTTGAGAAAACGGGAAGCTGCCGCTATTTCAATGATCTCAAACAAATTTACCGTGCACGAAGGGTGGAATTCGCAGTCTTTATCGAACGATATTGCTTTGATTCACTTGGCGCAACCAGTGCCACTTAATTGTAAGTAATGCAAGAATTTTAAGAAATCATACATTTTGAATATTAGAACTTCACGGAAGATAGATTCACGGGGGTTAGAATTTCGTGTGTTTTTTTTTTAATATTTAAAATAAGTTATTGTATCTTTTGACACCTTAATTTAAAAAAAAACAATTGTACACACATAAAATATTTATAAAAAAGAGATATTACACTTCACGGTGGATAGGTTTTTAAATGACAAACTTAAACTTTTGAATTGTAAAACAGCAACACTCTCAGATATTTGAAAACATATAGGTTAACCTAGAAAGAGTAACCGTCACGGAGGATAGGGTTTAGACTTTTAAAACATTGTAAAAAATAATTAATTGCGGTTAAACACCATCGGAGGACATTTCGTGAGATTCACCCTAATACAATACGATTCTCCTTATGTATCTCTAAAAAAACACTACTGCTCACAGCCTATATTCAAATAATTCCGCTTTCCCGCGACACGAGCACACACGAAGGTCAAATGTCGTTAATCACCGGCTGGGGCAGGTATTCCGATCGAATTCAGGGCACCAGCGACATCTTACGGGGAACAAAGACACCAATCGTCTCCAACAATATCTGCAACTACTATTTTGGAGGTATCGTCACCTCCAAACAAATTTGCACCTCTGGAAGTCAAGGAAAAGGCAGCTGTAACGGTGACAGTGGCGGACCTTTGGCCATTGGAGGAAAACAGGTAAAAAGTTTTACCACAAAATAGTTTAAAAAATTAAGTTATTTAAACTTCTTAAAAAATCTTAAATTATTTTATGGTTGGTAACAACCAGCGCTTACAGATTCTGTCAAAAAAGTTGCCAAATTTTGTTTAAATTTCAAAAATGACAAAATCATTTGCTTAAGCCAATAGCTGGATGAGTAAATAAATACAGAAGGGTATTAGAGCTTTAAGGGCATAAAACTTTTGTATTTATTGAGTTAATATTTATTTTTTGCAAGAAAAATGTTTAGTAACAATTTTTTACAACTGAAACGCGCAATTTTAAATGATCGAGTCGATAAATTTTTAATCCAAAAATTACCACATAAATTTTTTCAAAAATTGATTGGAAATAATATTGTTTAATTTCAAATTTATAAATGTAAATCTAAAATTTTTAGTTTAGAAAATTTTAAATAAAAAAATTATATAAAAATGTTAAAACTGCATACCATAAATAACTGAAGAATATAGCATACAATACCAACATAATCAAATGTGTCAAAAACTATTTTTTTTTATTAGGTTGGACTGGTGTCATTTGGAATTCAATATGGCTGTGAGGTGGGATTCCCAGCTGTATATACCAGGGTTGCCAACTACTACAACTGGATTCAGGCACATAAATAGAAATTGTACAGGATTTTATATGATTATTAATAATAAAGCATTTTTTACACTTTAATTTCTTACTTTTATTTTTTTAGATTTAGTTACTATTATATATGAATAACTCCACAATTTTTATTTTAAATTTTATAGTATTAAAGGAAAAATGGTAATATTAGTATCTACTCCTACCTGAGTAACTTCTATCTCTATTTTTGCTGCTGAAATAGTCTTTATGCCTATTTTCACTGTATTTTCTTGAACTTTCCCCACTATTTCTATGCGAATCACAATCTTTCTCTTTCTTAATTTTCCTCTTTAAATCTTCACTTCCCGAATCCTCTTCACTATCGCTTGAAGAGGAGTCTTTTCTTGACTTCTTTTTCTTCCTTTTGGAGTCTTCATTGTCACTGTCATCCCCCGAAGAATTTTTCCTGGATTTCTTCTTTTTGCTCTTCTTCTTTTTGTCCTTTTTCTTCTTATCTTTCTTTTCTTTACTAATTTTCACTTCTTCACCATCATCTTTAATCTCTTGTTTTATGGGGTAAATAGGCAACCTGCTTGGTAATTTAATTTCCCCCGATATAACATCAGCAATGGTCTCCCTAAAATAATAAAATGTTTTTTTTGTCAATTTTGACCAAATTCTTACCTAAAGTCCATGGGTGGAGTTTTGGGCCTGAGAGCAAGGGGCGCCACCGCTTTAGGGGCGCAACCCTCCCTGTAAAGCTGCTCTGTCTCTTCGTCGGTTTTTTTGCCCATTTTTGGGGCCTTATAGTTGCTGACATGGTCCACGCGGATTGTACGGTTTAATATTTTTATACCATTAAAATTGTCCACGGCCAGAACCGTGGAGCGTTGGTCTTCGTAGCAAATGAAGCAGAAACCTTTCGACTTCCCTGTGTCTTTCGCTCTGATCAGGTTTATGTTTACGATTTCGCCGTATCTAAAATAAAAATTAACTTTTTGTCGCAATGTTTTAAAAGGAGACTTACTGTGAAAATATGCAAACAATATCCCCCTCTGTTAAATCAAATGGCAATCCTCCAACAAAAACCCAAGCACTGTCTCTATACTGATCGTGCCAAGACGTTTTATTTCCTGTATTTAGCTCTTGTTCGCTTAGTTTTAAAACGTTTTTCATATTACTAAAAAAAACATTAAAAACATTCGCTATTTCCATATATATGATTACTTACGTTAAAGGATTCATTTTGAATGTTTTATGTAGGTTTTATCACTATAAATAAGAGAACAACCTATAAACGAAAAACGTAAACAATCTTTGAGGTTATGTAGCTTGTCATTGTTTTTTAGAGGTTATGTTATGTAAAATCCCTTGTTTTTATACCGAGTTTCTTCATTTTTTGCTGCGAATCGTCCTGATTTTTTTAATTAATTAATTTTTACCCTGTTAAAATGCATTGTTTCTGTGGGATAATTGCAAAATAAGCATAACGCAACCACGATTACATCAACGGGTAATTTGGGTTGCCTAAATTCTTTAAAACCACAGCTAGTAAAATAAAAAAAAAGAGTAAAATCTTAATAATACACATTTTTCAAAATATTCCTTATTTTATTAAATGAATTATACAACAAATAAAAAAATGCACTCTAGTAGGTAAATTTAAAAAAAAGCCTTAAAAACCTAATTGCCCCCCAAAACGTACCCTCTCCCCCAACCAGGGAACCGGTTGTTATTTCCCCCTCCTTGACCTTGAGCAGGCCTCTGAGGAGGGCTGCCGAAACTGTGCACCCCCCCAACTTGATCGGGGAAAATTTGTTTTAAGAACGCTGGAGTTTCAAGCAAAGTGGGGCCCTCCAACTCTTGAGGGTACTTGAATTTGAGGAAAAAGTACACGTGTCCCACCAAAATGCCAATTAACTCCATTACACCACCCCCGTTGAGGACAACGTTAAAAGCGAGGAGAACCCAGGGGAGATACACGGCTTTGAACCGTGTTCCAAACCAGAATGTAACTATGGTTTCACGGTTTAGCTGGCACCAGATGTAGAGAACGGACAGTACCATCAAATCCATTAAATACTACAAAAAAAGTTAAAAAAGAAATATCGGAAACTGTAGAACAACTTACCAAAATATTCATGAAAAATGCAAAAATAATGCAACAAATTGCATTAAAAACAAGCATAAAACAGTAATCCGAAGGTCTTCCGGCAAACGTAGCTAAAACAAACAAAAAATCAAACAAAAAACAACCAAAATAAATCGTTACTTACATTCTTCCAGTCTCCTCGAATAATTATACAAAAAGTACAGATTCAATAAAAATCTAAACCCAGTCATCGGAGTTATAGGAAAGTACAAAATACACGTGACAAATCTCCATATTTGGAAGCTACTGAACGCTTCATTCGTCAGTACAAGGTACATCGGGTTCACCAATTGAAACCGTGCTATTAAACTTACAGCGATTGTGGAGCAAAACCAGTACCGCGTGAAATACGGCACTGTTTGCAACCAGCTTCCCAAATCGGACATTTTTACACCTGCAACAACGTTTTTAATCATAAAAAGTAACTTTTACAAAATCATAACCTCACCTTTTCTAAAATAAATTAAAATTACCTGCAGGACCCTCTAAAATACCTATTTTTAACTAACTTTGGTTGTTTGTCGGTCTGCAATACATATTTAGGTAAATTTACGATCTCATTGTTTTGTATACGTGTATTAATTTGGTTTGCAGAATATTTTTGACATGTCCCATTTGACGTATGACGTCATCAAATTCAGGAATTATTGCGGCGTTGCCGGATTAATGTGTCTCATTTTGAGATTTGAAACTATAAATAAATGTCACGATTATGATAAATAATACATCCGTTGAAAGTTATATTTGTTAATCATTATTAAATTATGCGAATAATTGTTTTGTTATAAAAAAAATGTGTGAAAAAGATTTAACAATAAACAGAAAAAATTAAAAATATGTGTTTTATCTTTGTCACCTTATCAGACATAAAATAATAATTTAGAACGCTAGATACTGATAAATTAACTGGTCCATAGGTGAAAAATGTAGGTAATCTACTTATTGTAAATAATTAAATTATTTGTGAGTACATTTTGGTTAAAATGGTTTGGCGTGTGTTATGCTGCAGGAATTGCGGCCTCAATGAGCAGGAAAAGAAAGAAAAAGCTGTCAGCTACACATTAGGTAGGAAGTTTTATAAAAAAAAATTAAAAATTGATGATTTTTTGTAGAATCTCAGCCAAAATCAGAAAATAAAATCGAACGTCGAAGATCGGTTTCCATAAGTAGTATTAAATCGATGGAAAGTTTAAAATCATTTTACAGCATACAAACCACAGCTTCAGGCGGAGATTTTTACAGTATTTGTAGCGTAGAATCCAACAAAAGCCAACAAAGCTCATAAAAACACACAAGAATGCCATGAAACGCACCGACCAATCACAGCACAGCGTCATGACATCAAAATTGCCCTGTTTTAGGGTCAATATTTAAAATATATTTTTATAAACATTGTTATTTTGTTAATAAATTAATTATTTATTATCAACGGCATTTTTGTACGCCCATCACGGTGCTGTTCTGAGAGGTGATTTTTGGACTTTCTGTGAAACCTAATTTTTTTTATATTCTTGTTACCTATTTAGGTCATAACTAAAATTTTAAGAGCAAAATAAAAAAAAATTGACGGTTAATTTTGTTTTAATTGGATGTTTATTAAAAATATGTATGCACACTTTCAATTCTCCAATGAAAACTTGCGATTTTATTTAAATATTATCATAACTTTTTAAATCAGATTAAAGATTAGTTAATTTCCTAAAAAAAGGTCTATACATTTTTAAATCTTTTACTGTTTTGTTCTAATACACGTTTAAAGTTTTAATTTAAGTTTAAATGTATAGTATACATTTATTAAACAATAATTCTAAGGGTGCCACATTTTATTTAGGGCCGATTCATTTTTGATTTATTTGACGAATAATTTCTTTGGATACTAAGTAGATATTGCCAAGACATGAAAGTTATCGGCCCGATAAATTTTACTAAAGATGAATAAACCGGTCCTTAGTTAAATTTCATGAATTTCTTCGTAACTTTTACTACAATTTTTCATTTTTGTTTATAAAAAACACTTTAAAAAACTAAAGAATACGTATACTGAAAATGACAATTCAAACGTCAAATAAATTTTTAATAGATCTAAGTTTCATGGCAACCTTTAAGGATATATTAATCAGTGGCGTATTTAGGGGGGGGTCCGCCGGGTCCGGACCCCCCCCGGGAGCACATATTTTATTATTTTTATTACAAAAAAAAGTTTAAAAAAAATAAAAACCTCAAGACTGTCAACGTACTTTATTATTTATTAATTATATTTAAATATAAAATCATTAAAATCAAAAATCAACTACTTACGTATTAAAGAGAAAGAGGTGGTTTGGCAACCCTGTAGGTATATACTTCCTACCTCTTTCTCGTGTCGTTATGATCGAGGCGCGAACAGAAATTATTTCTGAGTTCTGAGAAATAGAAATATACCATGAATAGATAGCGCGTGCGTGAAAAATAGTGGCGTCTCTTTTCTTATAATAATAAAGAAAAAGATGCCGCTCTTTTTCACGCACGCGCTATCCATTCATTATTAAAGCATAGCATAGTACATATTTAGTTAGTTTTTTTGGACCCCCCCCGGAGCTAAATCCTAAATACGCCACTGATATTAATTAAGGGAATATAAATGTATACGTCAAAGGTTAGATTAAAAGTTTAAACGTTTATTGCAACAAAACAGTAAAATATATAAAAAAAAATTGTAAAAACCTTTTTTTTAGTTATGCAAATATTAAATATTTAAATTAAATCGCTAGTTTTAATTGGATAATTGAAAGAGTGCATAATATTTTTAATAAACAGCCAATTAAAACAATTCAAACCGTCAAATTTTTTTTATTTTGCTCTTAAAATTTTATTTATGACCTAATTAACAAGAATATAAAAAAAATTAGGTTTACAGAAAGTCCAAAAATTTGTAAACAATGTATTTTAAGCTTTTTGGGAAAGTCATAATTTACCCTCTCGAATGAAAAAAAACACGAACTTGCGCCAAAAATTACGTAACGGTTTGAATATTCCCGGGGTAAACACGTTTTCAAACGTTGCCAAGTTTAACATATTTACCAGAGTAAGTTGATACAAAATGTATTTAAATCCTTAAAATATTTTTTTTAATTGTTGAAATGTCACAGAACTGTCCTAAATACTTTAAAAACGTTAAAAACAACTAAAACGAATCAAATAGCTAAAAAAACAAACCCACAAATCGCAGTGGGCTTCGAAAATTCGAACTTCCCGCCGTGGCGGGGGAAACCGTCGAGGCAACTCGGCAACGTCGCCCGCAATCATGCGTACCCCGTTGTCGAATTAATTTCAGTCGACGGTGTGCGTAGAAGATGGCGTGTAACGGCGGCGGCAGTGTCGAAACGAACGGCGGCAACGGAACGATGAACGGCTCGCCGAGAAAACGGCCGCGCACCGAGGCCCACAGCAAAGTGACGGTCGTCCTGGGGGCGCAATGGGGCGACGAGGGCAAAGGGAAAGTCGTCGACATGCTCGCCACGGAAATGGACGTCGTGTGCCGGTGTCAGGTGGGTAAATCAAAACGCACTTGCAACGCTGTAATTTGAGTTTTCCGTGCAAAAAACTGAGCAGGCTTGGTTTTCGGTGTTTGACGTTTGCGAACGTCAAAGTGTCACAGTAAAAAAGGCGGGATTATATAAGAAACGTGTGTATTATTAATACAAATGATGCAATGTGAAACACGAGGTTTATTTTTATTTTGTTGGATGTGTTCAAACAATTGGTTTTCGACGTGTTTTCTCACATGACTGCGGTCTAAATTTACTTTTTGGCGAATCTTATGACTTTCACGTTAAAGTGCAATTTATAGTTGGAAAAATCGTTGTTTTACGATCTATTTTTGCAATTTTATGGCTTGTGTTTAAGCTAATAGCAACACAACGATAAAATGTTATGAATTGCTGTGATGACATTGTAACAAAATAAAGGAATATCAAGTTAAAGAAAAAAAACATTTAAAAAATTTTAATAGTTAAATGTTTTTGGATGTCAACTCAAAGTTATATCTATGTTATAAAATCCAACAAGTGCCAATTTTTTATTTTATTTGCAAACAGTCGTTTTTTTTTTAAATTTAAATTCCAGAATACCTATATTTTTTTAAATGTCAATAGTTACTAAATTCACAGTTTGTGTTTTATAATAATTCAAATTTTTTTTTGTCTTTTATTTTAGACAATGTTCTACCTATCTGGTTATTGAATAAATATTGCCTATTTATAAATTATGCGGAATGTAGGTATAAATTTAGTACCTATAACATTGCCGTTATTTCTGTTTAGTCAATATTATTATAATTTAATAGATACCTACATAGGTAGGTAATTTAAATTTATTGAGAACTGAAATTGAAATTAACCTTGGTTAATAGACATTCGTGACGATATTAAATAGATAAAGTAAACTTAAATAGTTATCTAAAAGTAGGTATTTATTGTTGGAAATATTTAAAATTCTATAAAATATTTGATCTATTTTGCGTTCATAATGACTTCATTATTACTTCGGTGCTGTAATGAGATACTTCATTCCACCCAAAATTTTAATTCTATAGATTGGCTATACTTTAAACAGCATAATATTTTGCATATTGGTTATAATATTTTTATGACTTTTCTGGCAATAAATTTTGTTTAACACAGCCGCTTATTGTAAATAAGTAAATTAAGGACGGCATGGCGAATCGATTTTGACATTAACTGTCAAACCAATGACTGTGATACCAACTATCTAAAGTAAAACTCGACCAAATTAAATTTAAGGTATAAAATTAATTTCTTTTATAGAATTTTTGCAAAATAGATAAAATAGACATTTTGTCGCACTCGTCCATTACAAAATAAATTGTCCGCGTGTGGCAAAATGACGTCTTATCACATTAGTTCTTTAAAATATACTATTTTTATCTTACAACACTGCTAAACAATGTTAAAATTTGTTTGAAACCCGTTTTTAGATGTGGAATTTTCAGCTCATCAGTTTTTAAATTATGACATAAAAAAACACTAATCAAGCATTTCAAACTAAGTTTATATACAAATATGTTTAATTCGTTGACCTTAAAATAAAACTAATAGAAAAAAATGCAGACTAATAAAAAAATACATGGTCACGCACAAATTTAAACATAACTTGCAATAATATTTGCTTCATCAATAAATAAAAATAGTCATGCGGTAATTTTTATTTATGTTTTCTCCGAATACGTAAAAAACATCAATAACTTAAGGTCAAAGCAATTAATTTTTAAATGGAATTTTTCCTAATATAATACCCAATTTTTTTTGCAGGGTGGCAACAATGCTGGACATACAGTTGTCACAGATGGAGTTGAATACGATTTTCATTTGTTACCCAGTGGCATCAT